CCCAGTGTCCTGGGCTTTGGAAACCGCTAGTGGAGACAGCCATTCTGAGGATTATTCCTCTTCTCCCCATTCCACTGCTGCTGCTGCCAGTCTGGCTGCTGAGGAGAAGCAGGACCAGTCGCTGCTATCACACGCGTCTGTGTGAAGAGACCAACAGACTTTGGGTAAACAATAGAGCTTTTTATTCACCTGGGTGCAGGTGGGCTGAGCCCAGAACAGAGAGTCAGCGAAGCGAGATAGGAGCAGGGCAGTTTCACAAGATTTGTGTAGGTAGTGGAAAATTACAGTCAAAGGGGTGGTTCTCTGGTGGGCAGAGGCGGGGGTCACAAGGTGCTTGGTGGGGAGCTTCTCAGACTCATTTTCCAGGAGAAGGAATTTCACAAGATAATGTCATTAGTTAAGGCAGGCACCAGCCATTTTCACTTCTTTTGTGATTCTTCAGTTGCTTCAGGCCATCTGGATGTATCTGTGCAGGCTTGGGCTCAGAGGTCTGACATTCCTGACTTCTTCTATTAATAAGAAAAATAAAATAGTGGTGAAGTGTTGGGGCAGCGAAAATTTTGGGGGGTGATATGGAGAAATAATGGGCGATGTTTCTCAGGGCTGCTTCGAATGGGATTAGGGGTGGCATGAGAACCTAGAGTGTGAGAGATTAAACTGAAGAAAGGTTTTGGGGTAAGGGGTGATCTTGTGGGGTTGTTAAAAGGAGCATTTTTTGTATAGAATGACTGGTGATGGCCTGGGTGCAGTTTTGTATGAATTGAGAAACTAAACGGAAAACACAGGTCCAAATAAGAGGAGGAGAAAAATAGGTATTAAAGGGCTAAGAATTGGGAGGACCCAGAATACCCAATTAGAGTGTGTCCAAGGGTGGGGTTCAGCGTAATTATTTGCTTGGTTGGCGAGTTTTTGTGCTTTATCCTTGAGTTTTTTTTTATGTTGTCATGTACCAGGCCAGATTAATTTAGGTAGAAACAACACTCTTCATTTAAAAATATACAGAGTCCTAGCTGGGTGCAGTGGCTCATGCCGATAATCCCAGCACTCTGGGAGGCTGAGGCGGGCAGATCACGAGGTCAGGAGATGGAGACCATCCTGGTTAACACAGTGAAACCCCATCTCTATTAAAAATACAAAAAATTAGCCAGGCATGGTGGCGGGCACCTGTAGTTCCAGCTACTTGGGAGGCTGAGGCAGGAGAATGGCGTCAACCTAGGAGGGGGAGCTTGCAGTGAGCCAAGACAGCGCCCCTGTACTCCAGCTTTGGTGACAGAGTAAGACTATCTCAAAAAAAAAAAATACACACACACACACACACACTCCTCCTTCTTCAGCAGTAAGTCAGTCAAGGCCTATTATTGTCTTCTCATATTAATAAGAAGAAAAACAAAACAAAATAGTAGTGAAGTGTTGGTGTCATGAGGGGAACAGGAAGCTGTTCAGTCCTATTTGCAAATTGAATTTTGGGGGTAAGGAAAACTAGTGTACATGTGCCTGTCCACTTAACAGGCAGACACATGTAGGTGGAGGAGCCACAGAGGAAGAAGAGACCTTGTGTAAGGCAAAACTGGGAATGTAAAGTGGGTGAAAGAATTGCAGCGTGCCTTCCCAGCAAAGGTCATCTATCCCACTCCAAGAGGGAGTTAAGAGTGGCAGTTAGGGGATGAGACCAGGACCAGCTATGATGGTGTGGAGAAAAAGTATAAGCCAGCAGTGTAGACAAGGGCACCATTTATGGATAGGTGAGAACAAAGAATAGGAGTATGACTAGATAGAAGATAGCAGGGATGAAAAGTTTTTGGGATGCAGTCCAAGTAGTGGGGGTGACTGTGTAAAGCCCTGTTGCAAAGAGTAGGGTAAGGAAGAATAGACCTAACAAAATGAAAGGATATGGTAGGCTCGTAAGTGTGACTGCTGTTCTTCAGAAATGTGAGGGAGTTTAAGGGAAGCAGGGGTGAGTACTTACGACTTCCAGGAAGAAGAGGAGAGATCAGGCTGCCTGGCTGACAGACACAGCTTTATTCTGGAATGGTGAACCCAATGGGGAGGGTCCTGGAAGCAGACGACAGCTGGGGTACTATAGATGACTAAGTAGGGTCCTGTTCATCAAGGTTGTAGAGTTTGAGGGGGTCAGATTCTTAACAAGAACTGATCGTCCAGCTAGGATGTCTTCATATGGCTGGGAATCTGGAGTAGACAAGAGAAGATTAGCAGCCTGGCAAATTTCCTGTCTAGCCTGCTGGAGGACTGGAAGATAAGACACCTAGAGGGATGGTGTCTGGGATAAGGTTGGAGCCAAGCAAGAAAGTGCGTCCATATAAAAGTTCAAGTGGACTGTACCCTGTAGCATTTTGAGGACAGGCTCTAATTCTGAGAAGGGCAAGAGGTAAAAGTACTATCCAGTCCTTTTTAAGTTGCAGGCTGAGCTTGGTGAGGTGTGTCTTTAAAAAAAGACCATTAGTCCGTTCTACCTTTCCTGAAGATTGAGGATGGTAAGGGGTACGAAGCTTCCACTGAATACCAAGAGCCTGAGAAACTGCTTGGGTGGGGGAAAAGGGCAGCAATGAGCTGTGTCTGTAGTCTAGGAATAGTCAGGGAAGCAGATAATTTAGTTAAAATGCCTTGACCTAATAAGGGAACTGGGCAGGTGGGGATAACTAAAAAGGAGTGCATAAAAGAATGTTGTCCAAGTTGGCACCAGAGTTGGGGAGTTTTAAGAGGTTTAGAAGCCTGGTCGTCAATACCCAAAACAGTTATGGAGGCCAGGGAAACAGGCCCTTGAAAGGAAGGTAATGTGGAGTGGGTAGCCTCCATACTGATTAAGAAGGGGACAGACTTACCCTCCATTGTAAGAGTTACCCAAAGCATCTGTGATGGTCCAGGAGGCTTAGGCTTTCGAGGCAATCGGGCAGCACCAGTCTTCAGCTGCTAAGCCAAGAAAATCTGGGAAGGAGTCAGTCAGAGAGCCTTGGGCCAGAGTTCAAGGGGCTCTGGGAGTGGCTGCCAGGCAAGTTGGACAGTCCAATTTCCAGTGGGGTCCCACACAGATGGGACATGGCTTAGGAGGAATCCCAGGCTACAAGCATTCCTGGTCCAGTGGCCAGATTTCCAGCACTTGAAGCAAGATCCTGGGGAGGAGGTCCTGAAGGACTGCCTGACCACTGTGGCTTAGGCGTTTTGAAGTTCTTGTGTGCTGCAGATGTGGCTGGGGTTTGTCTCACAGTGAACGCAAGTAATTGCAACTCTTTTCTCTTATTGTACACCTTGAAGGAGAGGTTAACTAAGTCCTCTTGTGGGGTTTGAGGGCTGGAATCTAATTTTTGGAGTTTTTTTCTAATATTGGGAGTGGGTTGGATAATAAAATGCATATTGAGAATGAGATGGCCTTCTGGCCTCTCTGGATCTAGGTAAAGCATTTTAAGGATTGTTGCCAAACGGGCCATGAACTAAGATGGGGTTTTATATTTGATGAAAAATAACCTAAACCCTAACTGATCTGGGAAAGGTCAGATAAAGAAAAAGGAGCATTAACCTTGACTATGCCTTCAGCTCCAGCCACCCCCTTAAGAGGAAATTGTTGGGCAAGTTGGGGAGGGCTACTTGCAGAATGAAACTGTAAGCCAGGCCGGGTGTGAGGAGAGATGATAAAAAAGATTATAGGGTGGGGGAGTGGAGGCTTGGGAAGAACTGGGACCTGGTTCGGCCTGGCAAGGAGCAGCCTGAGGAGGAGGGGAGAGGTCAGATGTGTCCATAGAAAAGCAGGATTCAAAGGACTCAGAGCTTGGGATGGAGACTGAAGGAACAGACAGGAGAGAAAGGAGGAGGATTTGGCATGAGTTGCATGGGAGCAGAGATTAGGAAAGGAACAATGTGTAAAAGAATACCTGGACATCAGGCACCTCAGACCATTTGTCCATTTTACGACAAGAATTACCTAGATCTTGTAGAGGGAAGAAATCGAAAGTGCCATTTTCTGGCTATTTGGAACCATTATCGAATTTGTATTGGGGTCAAGCAGTATTGCAGAAGAAAATAAGGCATTTAGTGTTTAGGTTTTAGGTCAGGTGAGAGTTTAAGTTCTTGAGAACACAGGCTAAGGGAGGAGGAGGAGGAATGGTGGGTGGAAGCTTGCCTACAGTGAAGGAGGTAAGCCCAGAGAAAAGAGAGGGTAGAGACACAGTGGGGGGTGGGTGGTACTTGCCACCCAGGGGAGGTGATGCTTGCTACCAAGGTGAAGGATCAAAGCAGACACCTCTGAAATATAGGTGTAATTAGGCAGGCGTCCCTGCAGTGATTAAACACCAAGGGAAGACTGTCTTCCCGAGTCCATGACTGGCGCCGGAGTTTTTGGTTCACGGATAAAACGCCTCTCCTCTGTCTCTACCAGAAAAGGAAAGGAACTGAAATTAAAGGAAGAGAAAGATTGAAGGGTGGCGCTGAAATTGAAAGGAGAAAGAGGTTGAGGGATAGTGAGAGAGGTTGGAGAAGAGAGTAAAAAGAGGCCGCTTACCCGATTTAAAATTGGTGAGATGTTCCTTGGGCTGGTTGGTCTGAGGACCTGAGGTCATAGGTAGATCTTTCTCACGGAGCAAAGACAGGAGGACAAGGGATTGGTCTCCCAAGGGAGGTCCCCCAGTCCGAGTCACGGCACCAAATGTCACGCACATCCCTGTGAAGAGACCACCAACAGGCTTTGTGTGAGCAATGAAACTTTTTAATCACCTGGGTGCAGGTGGGCTGAGCCCGAAGAGAGTGTCAGCAAAAGGAGATAGGTGGGGGGCAGTTTTATAGGATTTGTGTAGGTAATGGAAAATTAGTCAAAGGGGTTGTTCTCTGGCAGGCAGGGGCAGGGGTCCCAAGGTCCTTGGTGGGGAGCTTCTGAGACTCATTGTCCAGGAGAAGGAATTTCACAAGATAATGTCATCAGTTAAGGCAGGAACTGACCATTTTCACTTCTTTTGTGATTCTTCAGTTGCTTCAGGCCATCTGGATGTATATGAGCAGGCTTGGGCTCAGAGACCTGACAGCTGCCATCCAGCAGCCATTACCCAGCTGTGGTCCAGAGCCAAGTGGCGGCAGAGCAAGGGGCATCAGCTACTGCCAAGCCCAGAGCCATTTCCATCCTGCAGAAGACGACCCACCACCCACAGCTTCTGCCATCTCTCTCCTCTTTTTTCCTCAGCCACAGGCTCCCAGACATGACAGCCATCATCAAAGAGATCGTTAGCAGAAACAAAAGGAGATATCAAGAGGATGGATTCGACTTAGAATTAACCTATATTTATCCAAACATTATTGCTATGGTATTTCCTGCAGAAAGACTTGAAGGCGCATACAGGAACAATACTGATGATGTAGAAACGTTTTTGGATTCAAAGCATAAAAACCATTACAAGATATACAATCTTTGTGCTGAAAGACATTATGACACCGCCAAATTTAACGGCAGAGTTGCACAATATCCTTTTGAAGACCATAACCCACCACAGCTAGAACTTATCAAACCTTTTGTGAAGATCTTGACCAATGGCTAAGTCATGTTGCAGCAACTCACCATAAAGCTGGAAAAGGACAAATTGGTGTAATGATTCGTGCATATTTATTACATAGGGGCAAATTTTTCAAACCACAAGAGGCCCTAGATTTCTAAGGGGAAGTAAGGACCAGAAACTAAAAGGGAGTAACTATTCCCAGTCAGAGGTGCTATATGTATTATTACAGCTACCTGTAAAAGAATCATCTGGATTAGACCAGTGGCACTGTTGTTTCACAAGTCTTTGAAACTATTCCAATGTTCAGAGGCAGAACTTTCAAGCCTCAGTCTGTGGTCTGATAGCTAAAGGTGAAGATACATTCCTCCAATTCAGGACTCACACGATGGGAAGACAAGTTCTTGTACTTTGAGTTCTCTCAGCCATTACCTGTGTGTGGTGATATGAAAGTAGAGTTCTTCCACAAGCAGAACAAGATGCTAAAAAAGGACAAAATGTTTCACTTTGGGTTATATACATTCTTCATACCAGAAACAGAGGAAACCTCAGAAAAAGTAGAAAATGGAAATCTATGTGATCAAGAGGTTGATAGCATTTGCAGTATAGAGCATGCAGATAATGACAAGGAATATTATTTTGTTAAAGTACTTACTTTAACAAAAACTGACCTTGACAAAGCAAATAAAAAACAAAGCCAATCATGGAAGAGCTCCTGGCCCAGGCCCTGGCCTTGGACAACGGCCAGAAAGCTCTTCCTTTAATCAATGCAGCTGATATTGGCCAACACCTGTAAGCACTGCCTAGAGAGGACATGAAATGACTAAATCTTGGCCCCAGTTCAGAGACAGCGTCTGGTGACAGACTCCCACTTTCCACAATTTCTCCAGGCCCACCCCCAAGTCCCTCCCTGCACAGGCACCTGAGCAGAGGAGACAGACAGCAGCCCTAGCCTGGTGGTGTCCACACCCCGGCTACCTGGCCATCTCAGACTCACCTATACTAGTCACACTGAGAAGTCCTCAGAGGACACATCAGCCTTGTTTAACTCAGTATTTCCCCAGGACTCCTCCTCCCCAGCTCTACCCTGGGTGTGGAGGACCCTCTGTGAAGGACAGACAACAGGCAGTCTCCTGGTCAGACCTCACCCATCCAGGCTGGTGAGCACACTCACAAATCCAGCTTCATTCAAACAGCAAAATGATTCCCACACAAGTGACATCTGGCAGTTCTTGTGTCCAGCAAAGCCATGGGACAGGCAGGACTGCCCGGGGCTCCACATTTCCAGGCCAGGAGCAGCAGCCTCACCCAGCCTACCCCAACCCCCAGTGCCAGCCTGAGCAGGAGAGGTACCCCCCAACTCCAGGCTCAGCCCTTTACAGGCTCAGCCCTGCAGACCTTATCAGTGCCTTGGCTGATGACCCCTCTTATCCAGACATCTCAAGCTCAGCCATAAAAGGAAAGCGAACATGGCTTTCTCTGGCAATGCCAAGAGCTCATGCTCCAAAAATGCTCTTGGACAGAACAAAGATGCTCACCCCTCCCCACTGGTCCTTGCAGGTGCTGCTGAGACACTCCCATCCCTCAGGGATTCATGGGAGGGCACCATGTGACTGGAACCCAGCAGCCTGCATAGAGACCTTAGAAAGGTCTCTCTCACCTCCCAGTTCAACCTGCCCAGGAGGGTCCTGTGACCCGTGCATGGTGCAGCTCCCAGGAAGCTGCCCAGGGAGGCCCTGTCCGTACCTCTGCAGCTGCAGAGCCCATGCCTATCTACCTTCTGGAAGGCGCAACTTCTGCAGTGGGGGTTTTAGGATGGGGCAGAGCTTTGGGGAGGGAGATGCCAGGTGGAGGGAAGATCAGAGAATGTTTGGGAACCCGGCCTGTGGTTGCCAAGAAAGTTGGAAGACCTACTGAGCCTGCAGAAACTGAGGCCAGGCATGGTAGCTCACACCCATATTCCCAGGGCTTTAGGAGGCCAAGAAGGCAGGATTGCCTGAGGCCAGGAGTTTGAGACCAGCCTGAGGAACAAAGCAAGACCCTCATCTCTATAAAAAATAATCTTAAAAAAAATTATCTGGGCATGGTGGCAGGCACCTGTGGTCCCAGCTACTCGGAGGCTGAAGCAAGAGGATCACCTGAGCCCAGGAGTTGGAGGCTGCAGTGAGCTCTGATTGTGCCACTACACTCCAGCCTGGGCGACAGAGCTAGACTCTGTCTTTTCAAAAGGTGGGGAGAGATAGGGGCTAAACAGAACAGTGGTCACCAGAGCCTGTGGAGAGGGAGGGGTGGCCGCTCTGACCACTGCCCAGCCTGAGTGGCCCCAGTGTGCCTCTTCCCCTTGGCCTTCAGCCCGCAAGGCAGCATCCTCACCTGCCCCACAGAAGGGGGTTGCTCCCCAGGTTACTCCGCCCAGAGAAGCCCCACAGAGGCCTGCGGTGCTGCAAGGAGCTGCTTCCTGTGTGTCAGGCTCCATCATCGGCCAGGTATGCTCTGAGCCAACACCCTAGCCTGGGCCACGGCGGGGACCCTGTCCAGGTGGCCGGGAGGGTACAGGAGTCCCTTAGCCCCAAGTCCAGGGCTGGGGAGAAATCCTCAGGTGGGGGCAGCAGCGTCTGGACTGACTGTTCACCCCCAGCCCTGAGCCCGGCAGCTCTGCTGCCTGGGAATCTCTGCTAATTGGCCCCCAGCACCTCCCGGGCTGAACGTTGCTCAAACATGTCAAACTTGCCACTTGATTGACAACGTGTCACTGTTCCATGAGATTTCTGAGGTGTTCCCGGGACTCGGCAACCTTGGAAGTTGGATAAAGAACTCCAGGAAACTGGCAGGTCAGTCAGCAGCCAGAAGTCAGGCCCTGGCGCTGGGCTGTGAAGGATTGTGGGGATCATAGGAGGCCATGGGGCTCATGAGGGCCTGTGGGGTTCATGGAAGCGTGCGGGGCACATGGAGGCCTGTGTGGTGCATGGGAACCTGTGGGGTGCATGAAGAACTGTGGGGTACATGGGGGACTGCGGAAGTGCTGTGGAATCCATGGGTAACTGTGGGGTTCACAGAGGGCTATGGGGTGCATGGAGGGCTGTGGGTTCAGAGAGACAGGGCCCCTGAACCCCTGGGACCCCAAAGCCTTGTGGGGAAACTGACAGTGTGGGTAAGCCCCACCCCACCATGACACTGCAGCCCCGAGGCAGAGCAGGAGACTGCCCAGTTCCCTGGCTCTTCCCATCCTGGTCTCTGTGTCTGCGCCTTGCTCCATACCCAACCCAAGGCATCTGGTCCCGCAGGGTGGGGTACATGTCTTGGTAGGAGATATCTGTCTTCACCATGCCCAGGTGCCCCAGGCAGGATTCCCTACTGGGGGATCCCTCCGATGCCCCATGGTCCCACTTGTACCATCACTCTTCCGCATTGACCCGCCCACGAAGGCCACAACTGCGGGAGCAAGCAGAGGGCCCTCATCCATCAGTCTCTGATCCCCCACAGCCCAGGAGCCAGCCCCCAGCCAGTTCTCCCTGCTCAGCCGTGTATCCTGGCTCCATCACTGGGGCCCCAGCCTATGTCCAGCCTTTTGGAGTGAGAGCGGGGGTGAGGTGCTGGGCAGTGCCACCACCTGACAGCCTGACATTTCCAAACAGCCTGGCACCGCCTCCTCCGCAGGCAGGACCAGCACTCTCAGGAGCTCCCCAGGCTCCAAATGCCAGCATGGCCCCTCAGACATGGAAGGGAGAGGCCCAGAAACCCCACCGGGCATCACACAGCCCAGAATGGGCATGGGTAGTGGGGGCTACAGGGGCCCCGGGACTGATCTGTCAGCCTGCCCTGGAAAGAGCCAGTTCCTGGCCGAGAGCCCGAGGAGCCACCCCTGGTGTCCCCCAGGATCCCCCATGGCAAGTGTCCCACTGCAGCTCAGGGCAGGGGTGGAAACCATGCAGCCCTGGGCAGGATGGGCCATCCAGGGCCCTCTCACTGCCCTGCCCTGCCCCTCCCCACTGCTGTGCAGCTCTGCCACTGCTGGCCTCTGTCCCCACAGCAACCCACATGACCTGACGATCCAAGCCATGTTGGCCCCAGAAGGTCTTCCCACCCGCAATGGTGAGCCCCAGCTGGAAAGTCACCCCCGGCACAGGCACCAGGGACAGGCAGTGCTCAGCCCCGTACAATCAGCTGTTGTTTCTGTTTAAAGCATGAACAGGCTGGGTGCAGTGGTTCACACCTGTAATCCCAGCACTTTGAGAGATCGAGGTGGGAGGATCGCTTGAGCCCAGGAATTTGAGACCAGCCTGGGCAACATAACCCTCTCTGTAGGAAAAACACAAAAATTCACCGGGCGTGGTGGCACATGCCTGTAGTCCCAGCTATTCAAGAGACTGAGGCAGGAGGATTCCTTGATTGCAGGAGTTTGAGGCAGCAGTGAGCTATGATCACACCACCACATTCTAGCCTGGGCAACAGAGCCAGATGCTGTCAAAAAAAAAAAAGTGATGCCCAGAGCTGGGCATAAGGAGCTGGAGCCGCATCCCTCAGGTAACATGCCCAGAGGGTCTCGCCCACCAGTGCTGCATTTCAGGTGGGACAGCAATGACCAAGTGGCATCGTGTGAATGACTCATGGGTGTGAGAGCCATACATGGCCCACTGGCTTCCACTCCATGCTTGATTTTCAAGCATTGCACCCAGCCTGTTCACCCTTTAAACAGAAATGACTGAGCTACGGGGCTGGCCACTGTCTGTCCCTAGAGTATACTTAGGACAGTACTGGTCTATGATAATAGGGCTCAGAAAATACAGGGCTTTTCCTACTCAGTTTGAAAGATTTCAATGGCTACACGTGAGAGGTTCTGCCCATGATGACACTGAGGCGGAGTGACTCGCCCCAGGACCCAGAGGACACGACCCTGGGAGGACCCAACTCTGACTTAGGAGTCCAGTTTCACTGATGCAGGCGGGCCGAGCGCAGGACAGGGCTTTTGAGCCCTGCGGTCACCCAGACACACTGCACCCAGCCATCGCCCTCTGACAGTTGCCCCTGGTGGTCACCCTGGCAGCAGCCAGGCCAGATTTGGGGGTCCTTGGCGTACTGCTGCAGGGACAGGCTGGGTGGGCCGGGGTCTCTCTAGGGCGGGGTCTCAGAGGCCTTGGCAGAGCCAAGGGCGTGAGGACCATGCTTGTCCCATGAGGGCCAGGGCCTTAGGCAAGAAGCCAGGGCAGGGCATGACTGGAGAGCCCCCTTTCAGCCCCGCCGTGAGCAGGGAGCCACAGGCCACCTCGGGGGTCCACATGTGACTGCACAGCCTCTGGATGAGGGAGTGTGCCGGGGGTGGTGGGGCAGTCCTGTAGCAGGGTCACCGGGCGAGACTGCCAGCGGGAGGGTTCAGGGACATGGGATCCCAGCAAGGCAGGAGCAGAGTGTTGAATTGCAGGGACAGAGGGAGTCCCGGAGACCGAGGTCAGCGCCTGCATTGGCGACACTGCACCAGTGGGCAGCAGATCTGGGTGTGAGATGCCCCAGCTGGGGACCAGGTTGGGTATGAGAGCAACGGAGGGAACAGGACACCGCCAGGCAGTGAGGAGAGCCCTCCACCTGCTCACCCAGACACCACTCTGACCCAGTGAGGCGCCATGCCTACGTGCAGATCATCCAGGATGAACGCTGGGCAGGGCTGGGACACAAATCCCAGGGCAGCTGAGCAGAGGGGCGGGAAAGGGTGGTCTCTGCAGGGAGAGAAGCCAACCCCTGGCCTAGAGGGTCACTGCGGCTGGGGGAGCCCACCTCCCGTCGCTGTCCCATCCAGCCCCTGTCCCCATAAACAGCCAGCCAGGCATCCGGGAGACCACTCGAGACGGGGAGGCGCTCAGTCAGAGCTGTGTGCTGGCCTAGCAATGCCCAAGAGGTATACAGGCTCTCCCTGGGTGAAGGACCACAGGACCTGGTTTAGCCACTGACTCAACCATACCAAGTTCAAGGTGGGACAGGATCCGCTCTGTGGTTCAGGTACCCCCACCCCCCAACTCCTGAGCTGTTCTGACATCCAGTCCACTCTACCTCCCCTGCCCACCTCCCCTCCATTCCCCCACCTCCCCTCCCCTGCACCAACCACACCTCCCCTGCCCACCTCCCCTCCCATCCCACCCTACTCATATCTACGTTTGCACAGATCCAGGTGGCCTCAAGCCCAGGCCAGGAGGTCCTCCCAGTGAGAGACCCAGTGTCCTCTCTGACAACCAAGGCTTCCCTCCCTGTGAAGTAGTTCACACCTGGTCCCTCCCTCCTGGGGATGGGCGTGCTCAGGAGGCAGATGACCTTGCTCCTCCCACTAAGTGACCATGGCTGGCCATGGCCCCCCAGGCCCCCAGCACACAGGACACATGGTCCTACACCCTTGAAGATGATGCTGCAGCATCTTCCGGCAGGTCACCCTCGGCCCACCTGGGGTCACAGCATCATGTGGGAGGCCAAGGGCTGCAGCATTGGAGCCAGTTGGGTATGAATGTGGACTGAGACCTCGCCCAGGCTGCCCTGCCCTCAAAGGTCATCCCGCCCCTCAAGGGTTCTTGCTGGGCTATGGCCACCCACACCCACTAATGGAGTTGCCAGCCTCAGCACGAGCCAGTTGGTGGCTGACTGATGGGTAATTGTTTTGTTTCACCTCTGAACAGCCTGAGCCCCATAATTTGGAGGCATAAATCTCAGCCTGTTGGGTTTGGCTGGCATGGAATGACACCCAGAATTAAATAAAAGCATTATCAATTAACATTCCATAAAAACATTCTGAGCGAAGCCCCACCACAGGGAAGTGCGTCTCCATCTCAGAGGGGGGCTCCCAAGGGCTCGATGAGGCCTGCCTTGGGGTGGCGCGATGCCAGGTCTGGCAGCACAGGCTGCCCTCTCCTAGAGAGACAAAGCTCCTCGCCAGCCCGTGTCACCTGCTCAGGTCCACTCTCCACTCACCCCTGGGCCACCCAGAGATCACTTATGAGCAGGTGTGGTCACAGGTACTGGGCACTGAGCTTGGGGCAAACACCAGCCTTCACGCCCCACAGAGCCCACAGCAACCACCTCCCAGTCCCCTTCTGCTCCGGGCACCACCTCCCCAACAAGCTGCTAGGCCAAGCCCCGTGTCAGGGGCCAGCGTGGGGAACTAGCACCAAGACAGTGCTCAGCAGGCTCTCCCCACGTGCCTGTGCCCAAGCCTCCAAGCGCCCACCCCTCACAGGCAGAGTGCTGTGGCCCCAGGCCCTCAGTGGGGAGCATGGGTGCCCGAGGGATCCTAAGGTTCACTGGGAAGAGGTGTGCCCCACGCCAGGGCCTCTCTGGCCCCAGCCTCCTCCCTTTGGGCTGCAGGGAGGCTCCACCAGCCTTGGCACCCTGTGTCCTGGACAAATAGGGCAGAGGAGCGACATCCTGCCCACAGCTGGAAAAAAAGACCTCTGAAGGGCTGGGAGGGCACCTGAGGATGAGGACATGAGGAAGCGGAGGGTGCAAGTCCACAAACCTAGCTTCCCGCCAGTCCCAGTGAACATGACAGTTGCCCATAGGAGCCACGCTGGCCTTGGGGAACAAAGAACCCCGGGTCCCACCAGACTCATACAATGGACATTTCCAGGCTCCGGCTGCAGCTGGGCAAGGTTCCGCCCACCGTGGAGAGGTGGCTTGGGGCCCCAGTGCCTGGCCACAAGCTGAGCACCTACTCCTGACCGATGCGTAACCCGCGTTAGGACTCAGTTCCTAAAGAGCCACTTTGCCATGGGGCGGCTGCCTAACTCAATTGCCTCTGTGCTGTTTCGAGACTTGTGATTGTGATTTTGTTTTCTTATTGTCACTATTTTAAGGCTCTTCTGCGATGCTCTCGGGGTTCCTCAGATGGAGTGCCGCCTCATGGTGCACAGCAGGGCTGGGGCTCCCAAAGGCCTTCTCTGAAGAGGTGGGTCACCCCACGGTCACCTACCCATCGTGCTCACCCACCGCACTCACTCACTGCACTCACTGAGTGGGTCCCCAGAGGGCAGAGGTGCTCTGGGCGGGCAAGGCAGGGAAGACCCAGCGTGATGCTCAGGGGTCCTGGGAGGTGGGACCCTCAGGGTCAACACTACAGCTGGCGGGAGGCTGTGACCTTGACCTTAGATGTGGCACAGATAATTTGGGGAGTGTCCGCTGGTCCTAGCAGGAGGACTTCAGTCACAGGGTGCCAAGGGGGGATAAAGAGGAAACCTGACGCGAGGGGCACATTCCTGAGAGAGTCCAGCTTGCTGCATAAAGGTGGAGGCTGCCTTGGAGAAAGCAAACTTGGGGCGGCCACACGCAGCCCCCGGGCCCCAGGCCTGGTCCCCTCCCCAGGCGCTCAATGGGAGCCGCACCCGGATTGGGAATTTGGGACGGGTCTGGCTGTGTCGAAGAAATTCGACACAATTAGCCCCTAAAAAAAGCGTTTGAAGCGTTTATTTCAGGGCGACGTTCCTGGTTTTTAAAGCAGATGGGGAAATGAAGTGGTGGAGATGACAAGGCAAGAACAGATGCACAGGCACCCGTAACCGAATTCATTAAGTCAGCAGACTATCAGAGAACATCTTCCGCAAGCGCCGTAATGAAACGACATGAGGCCACAACTGATGAGCCAATCCCCATGCACCCACCACGCCGGCCACACCCCTGCACTGCCTGACCCCCAGCAGCCCCTGCCTCCAGCGCTGGCCTGACAGAAACACCCAAGCCCCACCCCTGGTCACGATGACCTCCTGCCAAGCTTTCACAGTGAAAGCCCATCTCTACAAAAAAATTTAAACACTACCCAGGTGTGGTGGTTTGCACTTACAGTCCCAGCTACTTGGGAGGTTGAGGCAAGAGGATCACTTGAGCCCAAGAGTTCGAGGTTGTAGTGAGCTGTTATCACACAACTGCACTCTAGCCTGGGTGACAGAGCAAGACCCCATCTAAAAACAAGTAAGTTTTCCAATATTGGCCGGGCATGGTGGCGCACACCTGCAGTTCCAGTTACTTTAAATGTCAGCCGGGCATGAGGGCGCACACCTGCAGTCCCAGTTACTTGGGAGGCTGAGGTGGGAGGATCACTTGAGCATGGGCATTCAAGCCTACAGTGAGCTGTGATGGTGCCACTGCTCTTCAGCCTAGGTGACAGATCAAGACCCTGTCTCTAAAAGTAATTATAATTTAATTTAATCTTAAGACTCTGAGGTGATGGACCAGCCAGGCACAATGCCATTGGCCACTGGCAGAGGGCACCCTGAGGCTGCCCTGGACACAGGGCCATCAGGGTGAGAGGCCGGTGCCAGAGATTGGTGGGTGCAAGGTATCATCCCAGCATCCCCAGCCCACCTCACCCCCACTGGTCACCCCCACTGGCTCCCAGCCCTACCCCCCCATCCTGGAACTTCCAGCTCCTGAGGAACCAATGGCTCCTCACAAGGTGGCCTCTGCCCAATGCCTTCCCAGAGCTCCTGCCTTGGCCCCCACTGCAGGCCCCAGAAAGCGTCTTGTAGCCCCTATGGAGCCTGAAAGGCAGGCCCATGGGAGGAATGGCACATTCCTGGGATGGGGGATCCCTCCTTTCCTTTCTCTAATTTTTCTGCATTTTCCAAATGTTGATACACTGGTTTGAGTTTCTCACGGAGTTGGAACAACAAACCTCACCAGGAAGTGATCAGGCTGCACTCAGGTGTGCAGAGGAGCTGGAGGCCAGGAGCCCACAAGGGGAGTCCTCCCCAAGGGGTCCAGGAAGGGCCTCGTTGAAGTACTGGGTGGGCTGAGGGTTGGCCAGTGCAGCCTCAGTGTGGCCCTGTGTGCAGCTGCCCAGTTGGGCCATGCTGTCCTCCAAGATGGATTCTGTGTCCCTCCCTGGGGGCCGCGCCAGCCTCATTTCATGGCTGCTGTGACAGTTGCATTAACTTGTATCTAATGGGATGCTCAGCTATTGGACGTGAAGCAATTCCAGTTTAATTATGTTGGGAGAAAAGCTGAGTGTTGGGAGAGAACCTGAGGCAGAGCTTGCATGTCTGCTCAACTTGCTGGCTCCTTGCTTCTAGCACTCTCATTATCTCAAGTAGCCATATGTTTCAAAGAAAATGCTAAACTGTCTTGATACACTGCTTCCTTTCAACCCCCACCTCCTCACCACCTGTTTCTCTGAGCACCAATAAACAGTGTGGGCTCCCAGAGCTCAGGGCCTTCACAACCTCCACACTCACAATGGCCCCCTGGTCCCACTTTCTCTCTCAAACTTTCTCTCATTCCTTAGACTCCATTGGACTTCATCACCCCCACGACCTGGTGTTGGGTCTGATCACCCCAAAAAATTAGGCATCAGGAAGCTGGGCATTAATCAAAGTAACAAAAGACTCAGCACAACACAACCTGGGCCCTGCTCAGAGAGGCTGTGGTCTAGGCATGAAGAGTTGATGAAGCGCAGGACCCAGGCCCGGCACTGTCCACATGTCCACATGCCCTGGCTCACCACCCACCTGGAGACCACCTAGGCCTTGCACCCTGACCTCCCTGGCCACCATGGCCCAGGTCCAGCCTCTCTGGGCTGGGCTTTGTGTGCTGAGTCCCCAGGGGCAGGGGATGGTGACTCAGCACACAGGATAAGAGCAGTGGCACCCAGGAATGGCCACAAGGTCCCAGCAGCCATGGAGACCCGTCACACGCCAGCACCTGGCTTTGGCCAAAGCCCTTTCCCCACTCCCCTCCAGCCCTCCTTCCACTAGAATTTGGACACCCCTCAATGGACACAGACTCTGGCTACCCTCAGCTTCCTCCTCCCACCCTACCCCAGTGAGGAGCCCACAGGAGATACCTAGGGACACACCAAAGGCAGAGTTCACAGGAGACGAAACAAAGATACCAAAGCCAGAAGTGCCACCTGCAGTGGAGTCAGGCTGCCATGCCGGACCCTCTTGGCCTCTACTTTTGACCTTTGCCCCACAGCCTGCGCCCCTCCCCTCCCTCCTCCTCTCACTCCTGTTGGGCCTTTGCCCCCCCCCCAAGGCCATGAACACAAATCATGTAAGGTTTACCTCTGTTGTATTTATGAACACACTTTAGGAGACTGTTTTTTGTTTTGTTTTGTTTTTTGTTTTTTTGAGATAGGGTCTCACTCTATCACCTGGGCTGCAGGGCAATGGTGCGATCTCAGCTCACTGAAGCCTCCACCTCCAGGGCTCAAAGGATCCTCTCACCTCAGGCCCCCAAGTAGCTAAGACTACATACAGGCATGCACTACCATGCCCAGCTAATTTTTGTATTCTTTTGTAGGGAGGGAGTTACCCTCCCTATGTTGCCCAGTCTGGTCTTCAACTCCTGGGCTCAAGCAATCTGCCTGCCTCAGCCTCCCAAAGTGTTGGGATTACAGGCATGAGTCAATGCACCCACCCTATGACTTTTTAAGGGCAGATGAGTTGGGGTCTTTATGTTTCTTTTTCGAAGGAAAAACACAAAACTAGATTACGATCCCCAGTCAACTGTCCCCCACGTTGGCTGCCTCTGGGTCTCCTCTGTTTGGGCCTGCACTTGGGGCCTCACAGCTGTGATGCTCTTGGCACCAGACCAGGCTCCAGGCTGCCAGGCCAGAAGAGAACCTCAGGTGCTCTGGTCTAAGGCATTTCTCCCCAGCCCCCGAACAGCATCACCTCCTTCTGCCTTGATGTTCTACCTCTTGATGTTCTACCTCTTGATGTTCTACCTGCTCTCCGCCTTTGCTTCTCTGCTGAGGCTGGACGGAGAAGTCTGGCCTCAGCTACCTCTTACAGAGGTGCTGACATCTGCTGCCCAGTGGGCCTCGGGCTGGGTCCAGGCCTAAAACCCCATGTAAGCCAAGCGTGTAGCACTGACCAAAGGGCCCTTCCCTCTTGCACTCACTCAGTGGGGGCTGACTGGGCAGGAGCCCTGGCTCCCCAGTTAGACTTAATCCTGCCAGCCCAGGGTCCCTGGTACAACACTGAGAGGACCCCAGCCACATGACGAGGGTAGATGGTCTCCACGGAGCACTGGCTGCTGCTGGCCCTAAGACACACACCCTTGAGCCTCCGATCAGCCCAGCAGGATCCTGGTTCCGTGAGGCCTCTGGGTTCAGCCAGGGGGTGAGAATTCGGGGACACCCAGGCAGCAAGTAGCAGACCCTTATGGAAGGACCTGGACAGGGGTTCTGTGTGAGGGGCTCGTGGCTGCGCCCAGAGTGGGGGCTCCATGGCTGTGTTGTGTCCAGACCTTCCCTGCACCAAGGTACTCAATGCCTTCCTATCGACGTTTCCCATAACGGTGATTTTATTTTCCCCATCAGTCAAGACCCAGCCCTGCCTGTGCGCTTTTGCATCCCTGTGCAGGAAGCTTCCAGCCTCAGCCTGAGCCCAGTCCCTCAGCCCCCCATCTTTGTGAAGAACTATCTCTGGAGCCAGTGCAGCCTGGCTCCCACCCCCTCGTCTAATGCTGGCTGTGCAGAGGCAAGCAGTTAAGTAGAGGGAGACTGCATGGTCCTGTATAGCAATCGTGCCGGCCCCCGCACCAGACAGTTGCCCACCCTCCCTCCTATTGTTTCTGATGGTTCTCTCAGAGCAGATGTGGGTGGGCCCAGTGATGGTTTTCAGGTCCCCAATTCTGCCCCGCCTGCCACTTGGGTGATCTTTGATAAGTTTCAGACCCATCCTGTCCCCCCAGCTATCCCTGGGTGCTACCTGCAGGAAAGAGGCCTGGCTCAGGCTCAGTGAGAGACGGAGAACATTGTCTCTCAGATGTCAGCATGTTCATTTTCCAGTTTCTAATCCTCTTTATAAAAGAACAAAATGGAATAAAGTCAGATTCTGTGTGGAGGCTGCAGGAAGGCAAGGGTGACTGCCTGGGAAACCCTGGTCCTTGGGGCTGCCCCATGGTGTGCCCAGGGGTGATGGTCAGGAGGCATCTCCATGGGGCACCAATGTTCAGGGTACAGCAGTAGGACCGTGTCTGCCTGTGGGCCGGTGCGTGGGTGCTCAGGGCTGGCTTGGGGATAACAGTGTTTGACTCGCTAATGCTTTTACTTAGACTAGAAGTTTTTCCTGAAACTATGGTCTCAAGAGATGCTCCCCACAAAAAAGGAGTTCTAGTATCCATCGGGTTTGATCAATCCCAGGCTCTTCCTGTGTTGGGGCTGAGTCGGCAGGGGCAGCAGACATGGCGTGAAGGTGTGCTTCTGAGCATCACACTTGGCCCTCCTCTCCCAGGAGCCTCTCGTTGTCCCTGTCCTTCCTGCCTTGGCTGTCCCCCGTGCTGGAGCTCCCACAGTTCTCCATGCCATCTCCTCACCTTGGCAAGTCCTGCTCCTGGATCGAGGTTAGAAAACACCCTGTCCCACCCTGCAGGCACTGCCCCATGCCCTGAGTCATAGGCAGAGTCCCTCCTTCTCCTTTGATTTTTTTTTTTTTTTACCAGGATGTGAAATCCTGGTTGGTTTCCTTTGCTTGTTTCCAGTCCATAAAAGGTGCTTGGTGCATGGCAGCTTGAGACATCTGAATGAGTTATGTGGTGAAATTTTATTGGAGGAGACAGTTGAGCAGTTCCCAGGCAGCGTCTTCCTCAGGACATGTCCGTCAGAGTGGCTGGTTGGCCCCACATGACCCTGCAGAGCCCATGGGTCCCGGGGCAGGAGTCGTATCACAGGCCCCTGTGGACGGTCACCCAGCTCATTGTCCTTGTCACCAAAGCATGCCTCCCTCCAGCTGGATGCAGACTCAGCCTGAGTTTCACACATTTGTTATTTAGCATCCATTCGGGGGCTGGCCTCATGCCAGTCACACTGTTTTAGGGACTTGGGATAAAAAACATTGACAAGTCTGGGCACTCAAGTACTAGGAAGTCAAGTTAGGTACTCCTCTTCCCCAGCAGAACTGCCAAGGTGTGGATACAGAGGATGGTCTCAAAATGCCTGCTGCTGTCCCCAGGGAGGCCGGCCATTCTCCTTTTTATCCACCAAGCGGTGGTCCGACACCTACTGTGTGCCACTGGAGTGACTCATGAGTGGGGCCCTGAAGGGGCAGAGTCCAGGTGGGAACAGTGTGCTCAGGGCAGCAGGGATTGGGCCAAGCAGGTCTCTCTACCCTGGATGGGAACTGGAGTGATGGACAGAGTGGAGAAGCAAGTGGCTTCGGGTGGTCTTCACCATGACACCAACACTGAAACCCCAGTCACCAAGAGACCGTATCTCAAGGCCCCATGGCTGGGGTTAAATGTTGTGGTCGGGGATGAGCAGCGGGGCCCTGTGGGGAGAGAGTTCTGGCAGCCCAGGACAGCGGCTTCCCTGTGTCTTTCAGCTGCTGTATGTTGCCAGGAAACTCTAAGGCAGGGGCTATTCAACAAGCTCACGAAGATGACCTTCTACGGGCAGTTTGTAGCCGGTGAGGACCAGGAGTCCATCCAGTCCCCGATCTGGCAAAACAGGGCCTTTGGTGTCGGCTCCATCCTGGACTATGGAGTGGAGTGGGACCTGAGCCCCAAGGAGGCTGAGCACAAGGAGATGGAGTAAGGCCTACCTGGTGTCTGCAGGCGTGCTGACGATGACCCCGGAGCACCCAGTGGGAGCAGGTGGGACGTGTCCAGCTGCTGGACTTCAGCCTCAGCTGGGCAGAGACCAAGGCTAGGAGAGCTTGGTCAGCTCAACTACCGACGACCCTCCTGGGTTCTGCCTGGAGTTCTTGCATTTTTGTTTCATGTAGATGACAGCTCTCAGCTTTCACGGGAGGCCTGGTGTGTGTGAGGCCTGAGGAAGCCGAGCACAGAATGGCCCTTGGCCCTATCTAGCCCACCGCCTGGAGGAGGACAAGCACCAGCACATGAACCAAGCACTATGCAAAGAATGGTTGGTTTCGCCTGGATCTCTCATGAGCCTCGTCTTCAGGAAGCGGACAGCAACATGTTCTTGTTCTGTCCTGATGCCCTGGAGGGCACGTCAGGGTGGTACCAACTGCCCTCTACATTCACTGCCTGGGAAGAGGCTCTGTATCACGTTAGTGACCTCCAGGAGCCGATTCCAGGCCAGCCTGCCACACTGCTCCTGGCTTCAATTCCCTTTTCCACTAACACTGGATCAGGGGCCAGGCGTGGGAGGTTCCACACCTGCAGGGCAGGCTGGGAGGCCAGGCAAGGGTCAGGCAGTGGGATCTGCCTGGGGGTCAGGAGTCCCTGCAGAAGAGAGGCTGTAGCAGAGCCTCCCCCATCGGCTCAGCAGAAGTTTGTGTAAACAGCCAGGTAGCACAGACTCAGCCTGAAGACACACCCTCCCTGCCACAGTGGCTTCACTCTGCCTCGGTAGGGCCACAGTAATTTGAATTTCATCTAATTTTCTTGTGTCACAAAATATTATTCTTGTTTTGATTTCTTTCAAACTTTTTTTTTTACAAACAGGGTTTCTGCTCTGTTACCCAGGCTAGAGTGCAGTGGTGCCATGGTTCACTGCAGACTCCAACCTTCTGGGCTCAAGTGATCCTCCCATCTCAGCCTCCTAAGTAGCTGGGAACACAGGCATGCACCAGCATACCTAGTTAATTTTTAATTTTTTTGTGTGAAGACAGGATCTCCCTATATCTCCCTATGTATTTGGATTCCCTGCACCCTGACAGCAGCTGGGCCTGACCCACGTGAGGCTCGGGACAGGCCCTCTGTGGACCTTGTCAGGCCTTGGTGTTCACTCTGCCCCTCTCTAGGTGGCTGGCCTGGGAAGGGGAGGGAAAGGCAGTCACATGAGGCCTCCAGCTCCAGGAAAGAAATGTCCATGCCGTGTCTCAGTATGCCGGCTGCCAGCTGCCTGGGGAGGAATGGCCAGGGGAGCCCAGCCCCTGCCTTGCGATTGGCTATTTTGAAGGTGGGGTGCTCCAGTTCCAGCGCTCCGTGGGCCTCGCAGCTGCCTGGGCCCTTGACTGTAGCCTTTGCTGAGCTGCCAGTTGAATAACCAATGCTTGTGTGTCCTCAGAAGGAATCTGGGTGGGGACTTGGTTTCACAGTGGGGTTTTTCCTCTCAGGCGCCTCTGGTATGAAAAGACTCCTTTCCCAGGTCGTCCTGCCTGGCTTCCTCCCTGCTCTGCAGGCTGAGTGTCTGGAGGTGGGCTGGCCTGCACACTTTGCCAGGGGGTTGGGCACCTGTGCCCTTAGGAGCCTGAGTCCATTGCCCTGCAAAGGCTGCACCTCTTTTACTGTTGGCAGCTGCTGTCTGCAGGGTCCCTGCTCCAGCTCTGGGAAGTAAGCAGGGTTCCCCCTCCTGTCCTCACAGGGGTGCGTGATGAGGACACCCACTCAGCTCTACTGCTCTGTGCCTTCAAAGGGGCCTGAGCCATGAGGATAGAGCTGGGCTTGCAAGCGCTGGTCTGATGTCCACACTGCAGCATGGCCTGCCTGGTCAGGAGTGACCAGTCATAGACTCTAGTGCAGGGAACTGCTTAGAGATCTGCCTTCCTAACCTAGCTTCCTGTCACAAGGGCCATGGGCTCTACTCGGGAGTGACACTGAGGCCACTGCCCCAAATAAAGGCCATGGGGAGTGGTGCTGGCCTAACCGTGAGAGGTCCAGGGAGCATGGAGGCGTCTGAATGCATGGCGAAGCAAGTCTCAGCAGTCCTCCCAAGAAAGGAGGAGGTGGGAGCCTGGAGGTGCAACAGGGCAGTGCCCACCCAGAGGAGGAGTGGGACCTTGCTTCCCAGAGGCCAGGGCCCCACCCGACCCCAGGAGAGGAGTCCCAGGGATCCCCCAAGCAGGCTGAGGACTGGGGAATGGGAAGGAGCCAAGGCATCTTCATGATGATTGGGCTGTGAGAGGACACCTAGCGGGTGGATGGGGGCATCGGTCAGGCTGTGCAGGCCCATGGCTGGCTGGAGGCGGGGTCTGGGCCTTGGTCTCCAGGCTGGGGCAGCTCACTTGGGATATGTGTGCAGTGTGTGTCCTGAACAAGTGGCTGAGGCGGCAGGGACTGGGGGAGCTGGGGAGGGAGATACAGGTAGAAAGGGGCTTGCCAGGCTTCCCTTCAGGGGAGAGTTGGACAGGGGTGAAGTATGGACCCCCACACTCTGCTTTTTCAAACAGGTATCACATCCCCGGGGACAGCTACCCACAGCTGAGCTCAGTAGAGGCTGAGGAGGTGGTCAAGGTCTTCCTTCTGTCTCTGAAGACCCCCTGGGGACTCATGCTTGTCCTCCTCTGCCCATGTTCCCTTGTTTTTCCCTCCTCCATGTCCTGGGCTGTGCCCACGTGTACAAGCATATGACCTTCCACAGACAATGCCCTGGCATGATGAGAGGTGGGGCTGGGGGAGCATGAGGCAGGTCCCAGCTTTAAGGAGGCATTGGGATGTGGTCCCCACCCTGATCAGGGCCCCACGTCCACCGGTTCACCCTTCCTCCTCTAACACCCCACGGCTGCCAGTGCCATGTGTCCCCCCTCTTCCCTGTGGTGCATTGAGCCATGATGTGGCAATGTCCCAAATGGCGAAAGCCAGATTTCCCGTGTGGCATCGGCAGTTCTGAATCAGCTTCCACCCCTCCAGTGGAAACAAGACCTCTGACCTGCCTGGAAACCACCATTTGTGTCTCCTTGTGACTAACCCATGATGCCTGTTGGAGATGTGGCCCTGTCCTTGCCGTGTGGCTGTCCACTCTGAGACCCAGCTGCCCCTCTGGCCACTGCACGTGCTCTGCGGTTGTCTTGGCCACTCTGCTTGGCTGTGTGAGCCTGGTCTGGGCTGTGGAGGTTCATGGAGGGAAAGCGCAGCAGCAGCCTTCAGTGTTCTGCCTCTGAAAGTGTCACAGCAGGAGAGGGAGCGGCCCTGGCTTCCCCAGCCTCTCCTTCCGGGCCCACCTTGAAGGATGAACACAACAGCTGTGGGAATGCTGAGTGGAAACTCATCTGCCTGGGGACCTGTCAGACGATGATCCTGTTCCATGAAGATGGGCTGCCTCACAGACACCTGTATGGTTATGGCCCATGTTATCCAAACTGTAGGCTGTGCGGTTTCAGGACAGGACCTTCTCATCAGGGTCATGGAAGCCCATGAGGCCCTGTCCCCACTGTCTGCTGTTCCTTGTCATGAGGGTTTCTGCCCTGGGCAGGGCCCTGGCTGCCGCCTCAGCCTTAGCATAGAGAGTGAGACCCCCTGGGGATGGCTTTTGCTCGGCTGTAGATGAGCCTCCGGGGCTGACCTCATGACTGGTCTGGAGGTGCCCAAGTCAGGGCCCCAGGAGCTCCCTATCCAGGCAGGCAGGGGGTCATGTGCTGCCTGCCTGTTCCCTAGTCACATGGTGACATTCAACCCTTTTGTCACATCTCTGTGTCAGCACAAAGCAGCCAGAGCATGTGTGCCTGCCAGTTCCCATGCCTGGGCTGCAGCCTCAGGGGCCCTGGCAGCACGTGTGGAGTCCCTGACCCATGTGGGGCTGCTGAAGAGCGAGTGGGAGTGAACGCCTCCTGGTGGGGCCTCCTGGCCCAGGGCTTGCTCCTTGAGCAGGTTTGGAAGGTGGAAAGCAGGCAGCTGAGGCCCCTTGATGCGGAGGCCTCTGGGATGCGCCACACTGACCACTGCTCTGCCTCTACTCTTCCCGGGACTTGAGAGGGACCCTGTCCTTTCCTGTGAGTGTGGAAAGAGCTGCCCCCGAGGGGCTGAGCGCCTGTGGGGAGCCTCAGAAAACCTCTGGATGCTGTTGACCACGCAGCCAAGCTCTCTCCATGGTCACTGACTTAATCAGGCTTTCAATATAAAGTCAGATGACCCACAGAGCTGCTCCTGGGACCAGGGAGACCATGGTGACTTTAGCACAGTAGACTTAACAGCTGCAGCAACTCTTGCTAGCCCTAATGACACAGCACTGAAACCAAGTGCCAGGAAGCAGACTGCAGCCAGGAGGAGGAGGAGGAGGAGAAAGAGGAGGCGGCGGCGGCGGCGGAGGAGGCGGCGGAAGCGGCAGAGGCGGCGGAGGAGGAGGAGGGTGTTCGCAGTGGCAGGGCTGCGGGGCTGGTGGGGGAGAGGAGCCAGGCAGCCTAGAGGAGAACCTGCAGGAAGAACAGGGGCTTGGCTGAGCAGAGCATGGCCAGCCTAAGCTGGGGGCAGCCTGCATCCTGGCCTCACCGGTCTTGAGGTGCCCAAGCCAGGGGCCCAGGACTTTGGGCATTATTGGGAAATGATGGCAGCCCAGGGTGGGGTGGCATTAAACAAGATGAGATGCTAAGATCTGCTTTCACTTTAAAGGAATGTTTCTGGTTGTTGCTTGGAAAAGAAGAGTCAGAGGCAAGACTGCTGCAGGAGGGCCAGCCTGGAGAACAGAATGGAACTGCAAGGCCAGCTGCTCGGGGGCGGGAGCCTGCACCGGGGTAGGAGCCTGCATTTACATCAGAAGGTGCCTGGGAGACCCTGGCTCTGGCACAGAGGCCTGAGTAAGAGAGCCTTGCTGGGGATTTGGGGACCTCTGTGTGCTGGTGCCTTCCCGCCTGCATTCCTCTCAGCCCCGACTAGCTCTGTCTTGGAACAGGGTAACTACCTTTATTTGAGAACCTGCTGCAAGCCCTGGGGCTGTTCTGAAAACTCAGGCATATGGTTTTGATTTCTCCACCCACAAGGAGCCCTGGGCTTCCTGCAACCTTGGGCCACAGCAGTCCCGCAGACTGCTGCCCCCCTCCCCGGGCCCAGGTGAACACTCCAGGCTGGGGCGGGGCTGGGGCTGCACCTTGGAACCTAACCTCCACCAGGGTTGTGGTGGGGCCCTCCGTGCCACCTCGGTGAGAACCTGTCACCTGCGGCCCAGGTGCTGCAACCACGGCCTTTGCCCTCCCCCTCTCCTTCCCACAGGTCCCGCACCTCAGCTGCGAAGAGGGATGGCGGTGGTGAGAGAGAGGCCGCCGCATATAAACAGATGCCCTCCCCACTCCACGCACCCCCTGGTGGCTCAGGAGAGTCTAGGCTGGGGCACAAATGGGCCTTGGGGTGATGTCGGAGCCCGGGCTCCTCCCTATGTCCAGGGCACTTGTCCTTTCACTCTAGGCTCTGACAAACTCACAAGCATCTGGGAAACAGGTGCCCTTCTTCTTTTTCACAGCCTCCTAGTGGCCCCAGGCCTTTGTTGCGGAGGCTCTGCTAAAGTGTACATCTAGGTCCCAAGAAAAGACCTAGGCCTCAGAATTCCAGACATCAGGCCCCATGTGAAAATCCGGGTCTGGGAAATCCAGGTCCCAGGAAGTCCTCAGGTACCAGGAAACTCCCAGGCCTCAGCTGGATATCCGGTCCCAAGTTGACACCAAGGCCTCAGGTGAACACCAGGCACTAAGAAAACGTCAAGCCCCAGCTGAGATCAACCCCTCGGTGGTCGCCCAAACCCGACCAAAATACCAAACCCCAAGTTTACACAGGGCCCCAGGTCACATCAGGCTCCAGGTAGACACTGGACTCCAAGTAGACTTTAGGCCCCAGGTTCACAGCCACACCTCAGGAGAACACCTCACCCCAGGTAGCTGTAAGACTCCATCCAGACACCAGTCCCCAGCTGGAGAATCTAGGCCCCAATGGACATCAGATTCCAGCTAAACACCAAGACCCAGTTGGGTATCTAATCCACAGGTGGACATCAGGCAACAGGTTGACACACAGGCCCCACATAGATACCTACACCACAGGTGGACATGAGGCCCCGGGTACATACCCAGTCCCCAGGTGACTATCAGACCCTAAGTGAACACCAGGTTCTAGACGAACATCGAGACTCAAGTGCATACCCAGGCCCCTGGGAAACATCAGGCTCCAGGTGGAGACCAGGACCCATGTGGGCAACCAGGTCCAGAGGTACATCAGGTTCCACATGGACACCCAACCTCCAAGTTGGGATACCGAGCCCCCAGGTGTACACACCAGTCCCCAAATACCAAAAGGTCACATATTCTCTGGCCTAATGCAATAGGTTCATCTCCCCCAAAAAATACGTATTTACGAAACTGAAAACTACACTTCTCAATCGTTCTCACATCAAGGAACTCTTAATAGAAGGCCAAAGACACACCAAAAGAACCAACCATGAAACGCCCGCATCCAACGCGAGCACAATGCTGCTCAACTAGCCCCAGAGCCAGACCCGCCACAGGCTTCGCATGGAGGACACACAGATTAGAAGGGAATAATGGAAATGTGGGACCTGGGATTGCAATAAAAGAAAAGAGGAAAAGGCAACCATGCGTACCGAGAAATCTAAGAAGGAAAGGCTGACGTGGATAACTAACCAACCCAGGCCCAATTTCCCAAGAAACACTAGAAACCATACCGCAAAATGAAGCGGCAGGCCAAATCAAGCCCAATCTGTCTAGATTTTCAAAAGTGTGGGTCTCTCCCAGATGGCTTAAAAGCCTACAAATTGCAAAGGCCACCCTGAACATGTCCGACCCAACTTGCAGAAATTCACCACTGGGGAAAGATACAGAAACCAATGCAGTTCCACGGCTTACCTTGGAGAAGCTTCCTGCAGTCCCTGGGCACCACTGGCTGGCTCTGTGGCTTTCTTGGAGGGTCCATGGCCTCAGCCTGGCCCCCTCCTTCAGCTCTGGTGCGTGGCTGCCAATGACACGAGTGGCCTGGACCCAGGCTCCTGGCGTCCTTGAGGAGCCACCCTGCATGCTTACACAGGCTCCCGGCAGCAGGCAGTGCGGCGCTCTCACTCTTGGGTACCGGTTCTTTCCCGCTGGCAGTCTGGTGGGGCATGGCTCCAGGGTTCCCAGTCCAGTACCTGACTGAGATCTTCACGCCTTGGGAAAGAAGCAGGGGCAACTTACCTAGGCACCACCTGAGCCAAGACGGCGCCTTCCCCACAGCCTGTGCGGGAGGGCTAGGTCAAGGTCCTGGATGATGAGGGGCAGGGGCAGGGAAACTCCCCACCCATCCTCCCCAGGAAGGGGGCAGGTGCATGGGAGCACACGCCCTGCAGGTGGACATAAGGCCCCAGTGGACACCAAGGACACAGGAAAACATCATGACACAGACAGTGGACATCAGATACCAGGCTGACACCAGGCCCTGGGTGGACACCAGGTCCCAAGGGGACTCCAGTCCCTGCATGGGCATCAGGCACCAGGTGGACAGATCAGGTCACAGTCTGGCACATAGGTAGGCCCCAGGTGGACACCAGGCCCCAGCTAAACATCAGGCCCCAGGTGAACACCCAGGCCTCAGGTAAATACCAGGCCCCAGGCGGACATAAGACCCCAGGTACATACCAGGCCACAGGCTGAAACCAAGTCCCAGATTTACATCAGGCATCTTGGTGTATGTCAGGTTCCCAGACTGACACATAGGCCCCAGTGGAACACCAGGCCTCACTTAAACTCCAGGCTCCAAGTGGATGTCCAGGCCCCAGGTAAATATCAGGCCCAAGGTGAACACAAGGCCCCAGATGGACATCAGACCTCAGCTAGATGCCTAGGCCCCTGTTGAACACCAGGCCCCTGATGAACATTAGGCCCCAGGTGGACACCCTGGCCCCAGGGGAACATCTGGTTCCAGATGGACATCAGGGCTCACCCAGGGAAGTCTATCTTGAGACACTCAATGTCAAGATAGAAATGAAGCCCCTGGGTAAACATCACGGCCCAGGTGGACACCCAGGTTAATACCCAAGGTTAATACCCATCCCCAGGTAAACACCAGACCTCAGGCAGATTACAAGTCCCACAAAAACACCCAGGGCCCAAGAAGAAATCAGACCCTAAGCGAACTCTGGTCTGCAGGTGGACATCAGACTGGGTATCCACCTGGGACCTGCTGTTCACGGGGTGGGGACTGATGTCCACCAACACTGGGCATGTTGTTCATCTGCAGTCTGGTATTCACCTGGGCCCTTAGAGTCAACCTGGGGCCTGATGGCCACCTGGGGCCAACATAACCACCTGGTAGCCTAGTGGTGAGTTCAGGCCTGGTATCCTTCTGGAATCTGATGTCAACATGCAGAGTAAGTATCCACCAGGGGCCTGATGTCTACCTGAGGTCTGGGCTTCACCTGGGGCCTGGTGTCCACCTGTAGCCTTGGTGTCACCCTGGGACCTAATGTCCACCTGGAGCCTGGTATCCATCTAAAGCCTGTGGTCTGCCTGGGGCATTATTATGTCACTTGAAAACTAAGTATCCAACTAGGGCCAATTTTCACCTGAGGTCTAGTATCCACATGAGGCCTGGGTATCTGCCTGCAGACTTGGTATCCTCCTTGGACCTGAAGTCCATCTGTGACATTCCGTCCAATGGGGGCCTGGGTGTAAACCTGGTGCCTGATGTATACCTCAAGTCCAGTGTGCACCCAGCTGGGACCTGATGGCCACCTGAAGCCCTATATCCACCTGGAGCCTGAGTGTCCACTTGGGGCCTAACATTAACGAGGAACGTAAGTATCCACCTGGAGCCTCATGTCTTCCTGGGGCCTAGGTGTCGATCTGGGGCCTGGGCATCCACCTGGGGCCTGATGTTCAACTGGAGCCTGCTGTTCCCTGGAACCTGTTTTTCAACTGGGAACCTGATGTCCACCTGGTGCCTGATGTCCATTTGGAATCTGGAGTCCACCTGGGAACTGGCATACGCCTAAGACATAGTGTCAACCTGCTGTTTGATGTCCAATATTCTTCAGGCTCCAGGTGGACGCCAGGCCCCAGGTTAACACCTAGGCTTCAGGTGGACACCAGGCCCCAGGTAAGTGCTCAGTCCCCATGCAGACATCAGGCCCCAAGTGGACACCAGTCCCCAGATGGACATCAAGCCTCAGGTGGACACAAACTCAAGGTGTACATCAAGCACCAGGCTCACACCCAGGCCACAGTTGGACGCAGTCACAGGTGGACAGCTGCCCCACAGAGGATACCAGGGACTCAGGTAATGATCCAGGATCAAAAGGAACA